CTCCCCCTCCCTCTCTCTCTCTCTCTCTCTCTCTCTCTCTCTGTGTGTGTGTGTGCGCCTCCGCCCTGCGCGTACAATAAATGTCAACAGTTGGTCGTTACCCCTGTGTTGTTGCGAGTGTACCCGCCGATCGTACTCCACTCCGAAATGTCAAATGTCAAGAGTCCAAAAGTCGGCCCTCGGGACTCTGTCTGTTTTTGTGTCCCGTGGTCTATATCTAAAAGAAATATAATTTATTTTTTGTTTCTACATCTTTGAAAAATAATGACGTTTTTCCCTTGGTTAAAAAAAAAATAAAGATTTATGTTTCTACATCTTTTTGGTAGAAAAATGTATATTTCTACATCTTTTCAAAATAAAGTTTTGTTTCTAAAACTTTGTGAAATATACTGGAAACAGTCAACTTCAGTGTCGTTCAAGGGACAGGCGTCCGCTTCGTTATGTTTGTGTGGGTCTTCCTTCATCTTCCTCTCAGCGAGACAGAGAGAGGGAGAGCACGGTACGGTGCAAGGGGAAGAACTGTGAAAAAGTAACATTCTAAAACTTCCCCAACAGTTCTCCCCCCTTTATAACCGTCGGTTTGAGTTTTCTAAGCGAAGCTCGTCGACACAAAAAAACAGGCCTTGGCAAAGGCGACATAATAACTGTTAAATAGAATAATATGATGGTAACAATAACTTATTTTTAAAAATGATAATGTAATGATAAATGGTAATCACCATGAAGTTAACCATAAAATAATAACAATAGTGATTAATAAGAAGAAATAATGAAAACAACAACAATAATAATAGTAATAATAAGGGCACTATTAATGATAATTATAAAAATAATAATTGCTATATTAACAATAATAATGATGATAATAATAATTTCAATAGTAATGATAATAATAATAATAGTCATAATAATAATGATGGTGATAATAGTAATAATAATGCTGTTTCTATTATGAATCTTATATATGTGTGTGTCTGTCCGTATGAAGGCTCAGAATTTAACGTTTATGTATATGTGTGTCTGTCTGTGTGTCCCCAGATGGGTGTGGTGCGGAGGAGGAGTACGTTCTGCAGTGCATCTACTGCCCCAGCACGTACGGCCGGGCCACGCTGCTGCGAGACCACATGCGCGCCGACCACCCCGAGAAGCCTGTGCGCTACCAGTGCCCTCGGTGTGAGCAGACCTTCCTGCTCAAGTCTCACCTGGACAAGCACCTGGCACTACACTCGCCCACCTCGCAGGCCTGCAAGGTGAGTACGCCGAGGGTTGGGTTTTTTTTTAGGTGAGAATAGAGTACTCGCAGGTTGTTTTTTAATTGG